CCCCAAAACCCCAAAACCCCAAAACCCCTGTTGATACCTTCTAAATTGAAAATATCGATAAAAATTGGTCTACTTATTATACCTGTTCATGCTGGCCAGTTTATTTTTCTGAGCGAGGCGATCCATTTCTTGTCTCATAGTCAGTTCTTCTACCCTTGAAGCATTATACCTATCATTCATGGCATTGATTTCTTTGAGTTCGACTTGGTATAATGGGGCTAAAACTTCTTTCCCTCAATAAACATCCGTCTTTAATCCCTTCTTCTTGATTAAATTTTGGGCTTCATCACTTTGTTCCTTTGCAGTTACTCCAAAGGGAAAGGATTTCTTTGGCAGCAAACTTTTATGAAGATCCTTGGGCAACTGGCTCCGGATAGGTCTATGATGATGAGAAAAACATACCTTAGAACTCTTTGACCAGGCTCATAAATAGCATTATCTGATGGAACAAAAGAGGCATAATACTGCGAAAATTCTTCACTTGGGTCAGGCTGTTTCTCTGCTCCAGGAAGATATCTAGATTTTTGCCTGGCTATTCTTACCTTGAAATATCATCGGCATCATGTCCCATTTGGTCTTGTATAATAGGCTTCATCAATTCATCAAGAGATTCTTTTATATAATTTGATTTATTTATTCTTTGCTCTTGAGAAAGCAAAGTAAGAAAGTGGGTCAATTTTCTTCTCCTCTTTTCGAATCCCTACAATAGATTTTGTTAAGCTATTTTCTAGAATTCTTCTTCCAGAATTTTTAAGAGTAGAATCCTTCTTTGGAGGAGGTTTCATTGCTGAGGAGAACATAGGGATATCCAAAATATTTGGATTTTTCTTCTTCTCTTCCAAAAATTTTAAATGTTCTTGATAAAGCTCATACTTATTCTCTCCATCTCCTGGAGATCCAAGGATATCTTTGAATGTGTAAACTTCTACTGACTCATCAAGTCGAGCTGAGAGTCCATAATGCTTCTTCATGAACTTAAACATTGCTTTACTGGGTTTATACAGAGAGACTTTCCGAGGCTCAATTCCTTTGACTAGTAATAGATAATCCATCAATTGTTTCCCATGGCCTTTACGTTGGCAGTCTTCATGAATGTAGAAGTCCAAAATTGCAGTTGTGTCAATATAAATTCTTCTATCATCCACTAGAATGTTAGATAAAAATCTTACAAATATGCATGACTATTTTGAAATCAACAGTGCCTAAATGAAATGGAGTAAGTAACCACCAAGCGAATTTTAAGCAATTAACTCTAGGAATTTTCAAAAACTCTCTAAAAATAAGAGGTTGATAGTTGCTACATTTGGCTATAATAGAGCAATTGGTAGAAAAGACTAGATCCTCTTATCCTGGGAACAGATATTAGCATTCAATGAAAGCATTGGGCAAAGCAGGTGAATTACTTATATAACCAACTCATTTGTTCGAGTAAGCTTTAAAGAACATTGTATTCTTATTTTGTATTCAAATATTCAGGAAGTGGGTTAACGAACAACTCATTGGCTTTAGATTTATCATAGTATCGGTTCTGGTTCTCACAACTTGCCTTATGCATTGTGTTCTAGATTATTTTAAATAAATCTGATTATGTAACTCCTTAAGCAATAGTCAATTCTTACTCGAATAATAGTGACAGAAGAAGGATATTCCAAAGTTTCATCCCTCAAATCTTGTATGGTAACATTTCCATAACCATTTGCGTTGCATTGACATGCTCTCTGAACGTTCAAGTCAATTTCCATTTAGAATGTGTAAATTTTAATTATCCAAAGAAGAAAAATGGGGTTTTGGGGTTTTGGGGTTTTGGGG